GTCCGGAGCCTGTGCTCCGCAAATGGGAGAGGCCACAACAGTGAGAGGCCCGCATAACGCAAGGAAAAAAAAAAAAAAAAAAAAAAGAATGGGCCCAGAAGTCCGCGCATAGAAGCTGACGCGGCCCGGGTCGCGCAGGCCCGCGCTGGCCGGGTTGCCGTCGCAGGGGCGGGGCACGGAGTGTCTCTCGCCCGCTCATTGGCCCTCGTGCTGACGGACAGGCGAAGGAGCTGCTAAGACGCTGATGGGTTAAAAACTGCTATGCGGGCAAAGTGTAAGTAAATAAATAAAAGGCGGTGGAGGAGCGGAGGGAATGGCTGGTGTCAGTGTTAGAGCTGCTGGGGCTTATCTAGTCCCCGGCTGGGGAAGGACGGCAGTCCCTGTTTCACCCTCTTCCTCCATAAGCTGGGCCGGGGACGTCTTGCTTTCTGGAAAGTTGTCCAAGCAGCAGAATCACAGAGGACTGGCCCCCACGGGACTAAGCCTTCATTCCAGTTCTTTCAGCTCCAGCCTGGAGGCTCCGGTTTCCTGTGGTCAACCTCGAAGGGCCGCAGGGTCCCTCCACCCTGTGGTCTAGCTCTGGTCTGGGTGCTACGGCGCCCTCCCCTCAAGCATTGGCACGACACTGTCCGAACTGGCCTCCCACGTTCCTGCCTGGCTAGCTGCTGACTAGACATCCTAAAAGGCAAATGTGAACACATTCTGCTTCAGACCACCGGCGCCCTAGCGGGCAGGGGTGCCAAGATGCCCTTTAAGCCGGGCAGATGAGTCACTCGTGATGAGCTCCTGCTCATCTTTCCAGCCTCATCTGGGAGGAACAACCACCAGTCAGGTCCTTTCAGCCTTTGTGCTTCTGCATGAGTTGCCCCTTCGCCTGGTCCGTACCTGCCCCTTGTACCCTCTACTTCTCCAGGAGAAGCTCCGACCTCACCCCTGCAGAGGCCTTCCCTGGTGCACCCCTACTGCCCCCAGCCCTACTCCCAGCTCTGGCCCGGTTATCAAGTGCTCCGAGCATACTGGCACTCTGGCAGCCCTGTACCACAACACTAATCACACCTGCTAGGTTCCTGGAATGTGAGCAACCTGAAGGAAGGAACTGTATGTTTTCCGAATGCGTATCCTGCAGTCCAGCACAGTGCACATCGACAGTTCAATCAATGTATACTGAATGAATAAACACATGGACTCCAAGGATCAGAAGTGAAGACTAAAAAATGTCAGGCAGGGCTGTGCATTTCGGGAGCTCACCAAAGACATGAATCATATCTTTTTCACTTCTGAATCCTGATAGCCAGCTAACAAAGTGACATTCCTTTTAAATGTGTGAATAAATTCAAGATGACAAATACTGAAGTTAAACCATTTAGTTTTGGTCCCAACAAAGCCTGTGGAAAGACTTCAGCTCAGTTAGTGGGGGTGGGGCAGTGGGCCTCAGGGGCCAGACACTGAAGAAAATCGGGCAGGCTTAGGAGGGTGTGTTTGTGTGAGACAATAGATACAATGAGGCCAAATCCAAGAGGTGTTTACTGTAATGAGTATTCCAGGAGGGTGGGGTGGGGTCCCCCAATCTGATCCTCCAAGGATCTGGGGTGACTCACTCTTCCTTGGGCTCAGGGGTGGGGCTGATATTTGTTCCCCGAGTTGGGCCCTGCTCCCCCTGGTCCTTGGCATCCCTAATGTCTCCAGCCACTAGAGCCACATTCCTCAGATAATTAGTGTTGAAGCAGTTGATCTGTTCATCCCCAGGACTCAGTTTACAGCAGAAGGCAGAGTCTCGCCAGAAGTTACGTCGGGGACCACACAGGTCATCAATAAAGGCTGATTTCTGATGAAGGAGTAAAGCAGACATGATAGGGGAGGAGGGTTGTCAGACGTCAGGCCTGGTTACTTGGATGTCCAAAGTCCCCCTTCCCTCAGCTTCTACTGCTCTCTCCCTAGATCCCTTCTGGGGCTCAGAGAGAGTACAAGGTTGCCTTCCACAGCTAGACTCCTTGTGATGGACAGATGTGAACATCTGGAAATGCCAGAAGCTAGAGGCCCAGAGAAGGCATAATAGGCACTTAGAGATGGGGAGCAGGTCAGGTCAGGTCAGGTCAGGTCAGGAGTGAAGACTCCCGGAACCAAGAAAAAAGATCTCCCCAGTAGTCCTCATTATTTCTATGGGCTGGTTTGAGGTACTAAAAGAAGGGGTATCCTGCAGTTCCAGCCCTCTCACTCCCCTCCTCTGCATTCCTCTGGAGACTATGACCCCCTGCCCTCACACTCACCTCCTCCTCAGCACAGCAGGCCTGCTCTGGAAACGGCAGGTCACAGCAGCGGGCAGTCACGTTCTGGATCAGCCCAGGAATCTGCTTACTATGTTGGTGGGAAACGGGTAGGGGTCAGGGTCTTTGGGTGTCTCCAGGCATCAAAATGGTGCTTGCAGACCATGATTTTGCTCTTCCCAAGAGTGCCCCAGAGGGTCCCCCAAAAGGGAGGTTTTGGAGAAGGGAAAGGAGTTGGGGAAGAACTGGCAAGACTCACTGCTTGGTGAGAACTCTTTGATTTCCACAGAGATGACTCATGAAGTTGGGGGTGATTTGGCTGAGGTCCAGGGTCAAGATGTCCCGGTCATAGTTGGGATAGGGAGCCTGCCGGGCAAAGCACTCATCTCGGGCAGGGCTAGGAGGGTAGTGGCAACACGAGTAGTGGTGGGTATTTGTAGCCTTTTCCTGATCACAGTAGCCATCAAGGGTATCCTTCCACTGTGGGCCAGAGAAAGGAAAATCAGAAGCCTGGACACTTGGCCCTCCTGACCCACTGCTTCCCTCACTGCCCTACACTATGAGATGAGGGACTTTCAGCCCCAGGTGCCAAAAGGGAAGGGCAAAGAACCAGAGGGCAAGGAGGCAGCTGTGGATGTATGGGATTGGGAAGGTGGAAGGGTAGAGGTAGAAGAACAGATGAGGTTCGGAGCTGGCCACAGGAGATGTTCTGGAATGGTAGACAGAGAGGGTCAGGTGAGGCCAGAGCTGGACAGATGGATGGCAGACAGGTACATGTGTGGGGTATTGGGTGGACGAGGCCAGGAGTGCAGGATGAAAGTGCACGATGAACAAACTCAGACAAAGAACACAGTGGATGCACAGACATTCACAAGCAGATGAATGGGCAGACATGCTCACAGGGGGTAGGTACATGGATGATGAATAGGCTGGTGGGATCAGAGGTCAGAGACAGCAGGGCAGGCAGACAGGCTATCAGGATGCTGGGATGCCCACTTACGGCCTTCCATGTACAGGTGTGGTTGTTCCCCTGCCGGCAGCAGTGCTGGAACTCCCCCTCCAGCCGGGTCAGAGCCTGCAGCTGCCTTTGGATGGGGTCAGTATCTGGGAGGTTGCGTGGCACAGAGCAGAAGCGTCTTAGGTGGCAGATGTTCTTGATATTGTCCACTGTGGGTAGCCCAGGGGGAAAAGGCAGCTCAGGACCTGAGGAAATACCAGGCTGGTGGCTGGGGCAGGCCTGGAGCTGGTAGTGTGGCCGGGGAGCTTCGTCTTGGAAGCAGGAGAATCGAGCCTCCCCCTGACGTTTGCAGCACCAATGGGGTTGGGTCTTGACAGAAAACTCAGCCTCACAGAACCGGGTCATTGCGTCCTCCCACTAGAGCAAGAGGAGTAGATCAGCCTGGTAGCCCACCCTCCACATACCTGTTTTCCTCCCAGGCTCCAAAAAGGACCCTGGGTATGCAGATAATAAAGAAGCAGAGGCTGTCCTCTGCTCTTCTGGCATAATGAGGAGGCCCAAGGTAGGGCCAATGAAAGGGACCTGAGGTTCCTGCATACCCAGGCCTAGGCCTCTAGTCCTTGAAACACACACATACTGTCTGGGGGTTAAAGGACATCCCCAGGATGAAGAGCCCAACCCTTACCGTGACTTTTGCACAGTCCAAGCGGTTTGTGTAGCTGTGACTGCGGCAGCAGCGGGAATATCCAGTCTCTAGCAAATTGAGGGCCTCACCCTGACGAACAAGGTGGGAAAAGCCAGTCCGTGGCAGGTTCCAAGGGCCGTACACCACATGCTGACGATTAGGAAGGCAGATCTGGTCCAGATTGTCCGGAGAAGGCCGCCCAGGGGGGAAGCCATCCAGCCGGTGGCCCCAGCCACCTTGGTGTCGGCCCTGTTGGCAGCGCTGGGTTGGATTCGAAGACTCTGGCTCTGGGGGGCTGTGGTCCATGAAGGGAGCCAGCTTTTCTAGAATGGGGAGAACAAAGTGGGAAGGGGGAACATGCAGAGGGATAGAGAAAGGCTGGATTGAGTTGGGAGGATTAAAAGAAGTTGGGGTTGAGGAGAAAGTGTTGCGAGGATATAGAGGAAAAGGGGACAAATGAATTCGTGGCTCTTAACTTCAGAATGACTGACCAAAAGGAAAAGAGACCTGAGTCATGAAAGGTGTCACCCTTATAGCTCCCTGACCCCAAATCACGCCTGCTCCCTTTGCTGCTTCCCAAGGCTCAGAATACCTGCTCCCCCACCCCACTACCCCGACCAGGGTCTGAGCATTAAAGCTGGGGGATGGACAGACTAAAGCTGTCACTCACTCTCTCTGCTTAGACTGGAAGGTCATCTCCTCTTGATAAAGGAAAGATGGGTCTACTGGGGTAGAAGGAGATGCGTAAAACAACATTCATGTTGGGACGGGCATCTCTAGAAGACAGGCCAGTTCCCATTCATAAAAAGTAACTCAATAGAGGGACTTTCCTGGTGGTCCAGTGGTAAAGAATCCGCCTTCAAATGCAGGGGACGCGGGTTCGATCCCCGGTCAGGGAACTAAGATCCCACATGCCACAGGGCAACTAAACCTGCATGCCACAACTACTGAGCTCACACACCTCAACTAAAGAGCCCACGCATTCTGGAACCTGCGCACCACAACTACAGAGCCCATGTGCCCTGGAGCCTATGTGCCACAACTAGAAAAGAGAAAAAAACCCGCACGCCACAACTAGAGAGAAACCTGCATGCCGCAACAAAAGATCCCGCATGCCTCAACAGAGATCCTGCGTGCTGCAACAAAGACCCATCGCAGCCCAAAATCAATCAATCAATAAAATAAAAAAAAAAGAAATAGCATATGCTTAAAAAAAAAAGTAACTCAATAGAGAAGTGAAAATAAATGCTACTTTTGTGTCATGTAATCTTATGATTTTATAAAATAGGTATTATTTCCCCAATTTTACAAATAAAGAAACTAAGGCTTAGAGAGGTAACTTACCCAAGGTTATTACACAACTAGTAAGTGGCAGAAGCCCCAAAGCCCATGCTGTCAGCCACGGGTAGGCAGGAGGGTAAAGAGGGGAAGGAGTCACTTACCTTCCTTCTGTTCAACAGGGACCTGGGGAGGGGACAGCTCTTCTTGTAGGGGGACGGCCTCTTGAGGGAGAGGTGGATCGCCTGCAAGATAGGGGTGAGGACACAAAAGAGCAAGGCTCAGGCTGATGTCAGCAAGATGTAGTGGGTGGGAATGAGGGAAAGGGCAAGGACTCACCTTTCTTTTCCACAGGGAGTTGGGGAGGGGGCAGCTCCTCTTGGACAGGGGCGGCTTTCTGAGATGGAGATGGCTGTACTACAGAAAGCAGAGTGTGTAAGTAGCCCACTCCTTCTTCCCCTCCCATTCTGAAGATCAGGAAGTAAGTCAGACTAGAAACATAGAGGTGCAACTGAGACTTACCTTCACTCTGTCCTTCAAAGTGAGGGCTATGCTGAGAGGTGTCAGGGTGATCCATGGGGAGAGCTCTGGTCAGAGGTGGGGAAGGGGGTGCAGCATAGCCAACTACCGGCAAGAAGGGAGATGGTCAGAGCCTACATTTCCTCCTGGAACCCCAATCCCATGCCACCCCCCCAAACTCTTACCTTCTTGAAGGGGGTGGGTGAGGTGCACTGGCCCCAGCTCCCTCTGCCCTGAAGCCTTGGTGCCTGGAAGAGGAAGGGTGAGTCAGGGGTGGTTTTGAGGGGCCCTTTCCTGGCCCTGAGCATGGGAAGGGGAGGCAGTAGAGGTTAAGAGCTTAGAAAAGATGACCAAGACACCAGAAGCCTCTCTGTACTGCTCCTGCCCCATGTCCCCTAAGCCACCCCGAAAACACACCTGGTCAAGGCCGATTGGGTGTGATAATCTGACAGCCTCACCTCTACCACGCTCAAAGCCTTGGGTCTCCCAAGTCCAGGCCTAAAGGGAGTGTGACACATGGGGCTGGGGAGGAAGGCCTTAATCTTGTGTCAGTGTCTTTCCCTTACAGCTTCTGGGCTCTCTCCACAGTCCAGACCTTGAACTGGCTGGAGCCTCACCTGCCCATCTCCTCCACCCTCCTGCCTACCACAGGCCCTTTAAACATCTTTGGGCCTTCTGGTAAGGAGCCCACACAGAAGTTGAAGTGCCTCCCGTTCAGCTAGTCTCAGATCCCCCTTAGTTCAGGTCTCAATTTAGGACCTGGGAAACTGGGATGGTTCAGGACTCCTGAGGAAATTCACCCCACAGCCACAGGGAAAGTAATCACCTGTAGCTGATCTGCAGTCACAAAAGACCAGGACCTGGGAAGGACAAGACAGGGCCTTCCAGATAGATTAGATCTATGACACTCATGCAACAGTTTCCCACAGTAACATTCTGTTTGGCATCCAAGCAGATAATGTGTGTGTGAGCTAGAGAGTGGCTGTGCCTGGTCCCCTGTAGATGGATGATGCCCTCTCTTCTCCTAACCAGGTAGGGAGTCAGTCAAGGCTCTCTGGGTCAATAAACTGGTTTTGAGCAGCCTGGGAGCTCCTCTTCTTCTCACTTCTGGCTAATAGGTGCCACATATACATCAGGCCCTTCACTCTGTGAATCCACCCACCCCCGCAGTTGCCCGTTTGACTCCAATATGTGTTTCTTGGCAGCAATCTCTAGAAACTCCTTTCTTTCTGTACCCCTGCTCCCCTCCCTGGTTAAAGGCTCCAGTGCCTAGGCCCACCACAGGTCTGCTCAGAAACAGGCAGCCAAATGGGACATCCTTTTGCTGGTGATGAGCCATCCGGGATGGCTGCACCCAAGCCCCAGGCCCATGCTGGTCAGGCCCCCTTTCCAAGTGCTGGCTCTGACCCCAACTCACCTCCCTTAGAAGCTACAGAAGCAACAGCTAAACAGGCCAAGACCAAGGCTGCTCTGGACGTGGTCCCCATCCTGGGGCAAGGACTGGTCAGCGGCCACCCAAGTAGGTCCTCTCAGGCAGATCTGATTTGAAGAGCCGGGCTTCTGGGAAGCTGCTTCTCCAGTTGCTGTTACTGCTGTTGTGAACTTCAGGGCTGGTTCCTTCTCCTCCTTATAGTCTATCTGGGGATAGCTACCGCCCTCCTCAGCTTCCGGACATGACTCAGTCCCAGCTGCTGCTCCTCTGGCAGACACCCCTCCCACACACCCTGAAGGCTCCTGACAGGATTGAGAAGAATGGTGAACCCAACCCCAAGAGAAACTGATTCTGAGAATCCTGGAGCAAGAGAGGTCTGAGACTTTGTTTTGTGCCTCAATTTCTCCATTTGGCCTTCTTTGGAGAATGGATCTGACAACCTGCTGAATTGGGGCTGGGGAAACAGGGCACTGAGGAGTTTAGACAGGGGAACAGGACACCTATCCCAGGGAGCTCCCCGACCAGTGAGAGCCGTGGGCTGCCCCTTTTCAATTACCCCAACCCCCTAGGACAAAGGAGTGGGAGACAGAGTCAAACTCCCTTTTACGTCCCCATCAGGAGTCAGAGATGAAGACACATTCCCAGCAGCTTCAAGTTTATTATTTTTAGTTTCACTCTCCTCACATCCAAACAGCTACAGCCTCCCCCAGACCAAATCTCTTTCCATGAAAGCAGATTCATGCCTCCACACGAGTTCTGAGGGGTCTGGGGGACTTCAGACTCTTGTCATTAGGGTGGGCCCCTCTGTGTTAAGGGGGCCTGATAGCTCCTACAGGTCTTTGCCACATCTATACACAAAAGCTTAGAAAATTTCTTCAGCATTTGGGACCCTGGTGTTCTGTAGCTCCAGTAGCCGCTGTACAGCCTCGGCCAAGTCCCGTTCCCCAAGTCGACGATTATCTCGAGTCCGAATGTTCACTGTTCTCTTACTCTGCTCTTTCTGGCCAACCACTGCAGAAAGAGGGGAGGTTTGCGAATCTCAGGGCAAATTTATCCAGAGGATATCTCCTTTTGCTATGCAGAAATTTAAGAGACCAAAATCTTTAGGAAGAGCAGAGCTCAGACGTGGTTCCGGGAAAGGATATATTTAGCTATATCTTGCTCTCCAGTTCCCTGGTCATCCTGAGGAGATAAAGAAATATTCCAGACATTCTCTTACATGCCTTATCACTTCCACTCAGGATCCCAGGGGTCAGAGATAGTAGGGTCAGCCAAAGAAAGACAAACAGATCAAGAAGCAGATTCAGAGAGAGAGAGAGAGAGAGAGAGAGAGAGAGAGAGAGAGAGAGAGAG